GAAAATTAGCCGCAATGTTGATACAAAGAAGTAAAAAGGTGAATTGATTAGCAATGCGAGAAAAATAAAAAATAATAGTGCGGATAAACTTTCAAACGACTTTGTACGAAATGATAGTACTCTACCATATTATACTAGACTTAATTCGTGGTAATATGTCATCAAAAACTGAAATGCTGTCGTCACAGCGTTGTCGGAAGAATTTTTGCAAAAATTGAAATGCAGAATTTTCTGGTGAATGTGGACAATTTTCGACTTAAGCATTGAGTATCGCTCATGATCATTCATCGTCTGTTCTAAACAATGCATGCAGAACTCGTGCATGTACACCGCAGTATGTTGAGAAAGTGCATTTTTTTCTTTCATGGAGAGCTATAAAAAAACTTCATGATTCTCCATTATATTCTCCATTATCGATTTCCTATGATGAATATCTTCACTTCGTTGCCCAATCATAAAAATATCCATTTAAAAAAATATTTATTTACAAAAAAAGCTGCAACTGAAACAAGCAAGAACATCAACATGGCTGTCCCGCATATTAAAGTAAGTAGAATAATACGAAATATTACAGATTTAGAATAATATAAATGAATGTAGTTACCATTTAATTCAACAGAACAGCAAAGTTATATCAAATAAAGAAGACTAGTTTATGAGAAGTTAAGTAAAACGGTAATTACTGAAGAAAAATAGAACAACGTAACGCAGGTGAATCACCTAAGAATCAATCAAGATGATTTTTATTTGAACAAAATCATTACAGATTACTCCATTTCCGACTTTTGCAAAGGAAATTCAAAGCAAAATTTTCGTGAAGAGGGAACCAACCGATACACCTACATTTAAGGCAAGAAATTGTTCTTCAAAAGAGCATTTTTTCCATAATCTTGCAGTAATGTTGAACAACCTTTCGACACAACGCACACTTATATGATAATATCGTGAATGCCGACCAAGAAATAAGTTTGAAGATTGAGTTGAATATATTCGTTGGGGAAGAACACAATAAATTGGTGATGAACACAACAGATTGATGATGAACACAACACACGGTTGGGGGATCGATTGGTTGGATTGGCGGAAAACAATAACCCACAGCCGCTGCTTGGGAAGGACTTGATCACAATGGTTGGGTATCGGATTGGTTGGAGCTCTTAGAGGGGATGGGATGTGTCGCATGATAGCGAACTTTTCGTGATAATCATTATTGATAATATTTTTGTTGACAGAATTGTAACACGTCAGTCAGTGTTTTACATTCGTCTATCATCACGTCATTTATCCAAATCATCCAATTCTTCTTTTTCGTCGACATGGTGCGTAACGCGGCCTCTGAACCGACCGCCACCTACCCAGCTCTGAAATCAGCGCATATCAGCCTCGCCATCACTCCTCATCTAAACGATTGTGCGCCTTTGATCGAGAGCGCAAATACTTTTCTCCAATTTCAACTGGCCGATTCACTGTCACCGGCTGAACAGCTCAGTGTTCTTCGCAACAAAAGACGATCTTCTACTCGAACACTTCCACTCTACTCGAACAAAACCGTCAACAATTGCAAACTTATTACGAACAATGGCGTGACATCACCCGCTCATTATCTCCAGACGATGATCCCGAATTAATCGACGCGGAACATACAGCTTACCAAACGATGAATGCCGATCCACATGGACTCCGCGCCATCCTATGGCAAATTACAACACTAATTCACCAGCAACAATTCTTCGACGAAGACCTCGACCGAATCGAGCAAAA